GTTGCTAGCACGAGTGGGCGATGTGGAGGGCGATCTCTTGCTGCGCGGTCAGCAGCACGATCACTTGCTCGCGGAGTTGGGGGAGCAGCAGCGCACGATCGCATAGCAGCGGCACCAGCAGCAGCAGACGGAGGCAGCGCTACAGCAACAGCAGCAGACGGAGGCAGCGCAGAAGGTCGAGGGGCTGGAGCAGGAGGTGCAGGCCCTCAGGACGAGTTGGCGCTCTATAAGAGGTCGTTCCCAGATGGTTCCTTGTTGAACATTCAGGGGTGAGGGGTGGCGGCGGCACGTCTGCCTGAAGAGCGCATCTAGGATGCGAACGGGCGAGGAGTGGCACGAGGGGGCGTGTAAAACGATGGCGACGAGCCCCCCCCCCTCCCCCTCCTCCCCCCCCCGCGGGTGGGAAGGACGACGGGGCCGACGGTGGGAGAATAGATAGGAGGTCGAAAGGGTGGGCGCGCTGTGCGTGCCCGACGCAGCGCCTGGCGTCTCAGCCCTGGGCGTCGCTATCACCCGCAGCATCGACATTGTCGTCTTCGCCATCGCCCTGTTGATCTTCGGGTCCACCCCCCTCGGCATACTCGGCACAATTCAGCCCATGGAGAAGATCGGCATCGGGCTCGCGATCCTCTATCTCCTCGCCCTTCGCGACCACTTTGTCGCGTAGCTCGGGGGCGCAGTGCAAAATGCACGTGTCATTCCATTCCACTGGTTTTTGATAGATGCGTCTTGACGAGTTGTGGGATTTCACAACGACATACACTACCCTGCGACGCTTGTCGCATCGGACCCCTGGCACTCCGTTCAGTCCTCTCTTTTGTTTCTCGGTGCCATCGTCCTCTGCTGCTTTCAGCGCAGCACATCTGATGTAAGTCAGTACGTTCTCTGTACATTCCACATGTACCTTGCTAATCGCTGATGCAGAAAATATGCATCTTACTGCGATCGGCTCGCACTTCAAGGCCACGCCGCCACCATTAGATTCAACCTCTGGCAACTGAACCGTAACGTATGCTGGCATAGCACCCTCGTCGATGTTCTTCTTGTAGGCCTTGATCAGTTTGTCTTGGTCAGACTGGTCCGACAGCAATGGGTCTCGCGATTTCATGTACTCCCATATCGCAATGTCCGATGGAGCGTTTCGGAGGGCCTTCAACTCTTTGAAGAAATGATTTTGGGCAAATGGGGCGTTCCTGTTTGTTGGGTTCTGGATGTCGACGAACTGGAAGAGCCTCCTGTCCATCAGGGATACCTCGATGAACGCAATACCTCCGCTATGGACAATAGTCCGCGGTATCCACGGCTCCTTGAGCCCGCCGCCCTCGATCACCGTGCGCATGGAAAAAGACACTGACATGCAGACGTGCGGGGCAGCGTGGGCCGCGTGATACCCCAGCGATTGAGCCAGAACGGCTATGGTGCGTTGCGACGATGTCGCAGACTGGCGCGATGCTGCATCGCAGAATGATGCGATGCGATGGTGCGATGACGCGTCGCAGGATGAAGCATTTCAGTATGTCTTCGCCATCCAACAAGGTGCGTTCATATACGGAGGGCGACGCCAACGCCCTGCGTAATGCCGCGGCAATGCGGCGAATGGGCGGCTCACTGCGTCTTTGCTTTTTTCTTGGCGGGCTTGGCGGGCGTGGCGTCGGACAATGCAACTTTCCTTGCAAGCGCCTTTGCTGTGTCCTCGGACATGCGCAACCTGTCGCCGCTCTTGAGCTCGACCGTGTTTTTGAGGATGGGAACCTTAATGCCGTTCGTGGCGGTCACAAATGTCACAGCCAAGTTTGGCTTCTCCTTCGCGGTGCACACGCCGACCAACCAGAAAGGCACCCCGTACTGATCTGGCACGCGCTTCAGACCACCAATGCCAGTCCCACCCTCTTCACGCTTGAGCCTGAGCCCGCCAGCGGCCATCAACGCGACGTTGTAATCGGTATGCTCGGCAGGGTCGGTATACTTCCTAAGGCAAACGTTGCCAATATTGATCTCATCCGTCGCCTTCTTGAGCGATATGGTTGTCGTCAACGGAACAAGTCCGATGGCGTCCTTCTTGAACTCCTTCTTCACTGACACCGCTTTATATTTGATTGGCGAATGAATCGCCGTGATATGCTTGAGGCAAGCACTATGTTGTGAATAGACTTCGTCGAGTGCAATCTTGATCCGAGCTTCCTCGACCCCCCAGTGGTAGTCCATGCAATTCAATGGGCTGAACTGGTCGAACTGGTCGATTACCTCTTTCTTGATGTCGTATATTGCGAACTTGTTTCGCATGAAGTCCTCGGCATCTATGGTGCGCTCTACGTCTCCCGTCTGCATCTTCACATTCTGCCCATCAATCGACTTGATCTCATACACAGACTCATCGCCCTCCTGGCGGTTGTACACCGTCACGCCCACGTTGAAACCTTTGACAGCTAACGTTTCGGACACGTTCACCCACTCGCCACGCTGGTCAAAGGTCTTGACACCTGTCGAGGAGACGCTGCTAGCACACTGTGGTGCATGCGCGACGGCCTTGGCCTTCCATGGGCAGCGAACGTTGTTATTGCCAGTGCTGGCAGCCATGGCTTTCCAAGCGTCAACTGCGATGTCGGTGATCTGTTTGTATACCCCGCGGCTCTCGTCGGGCTTGTTGAAGACGAAGTGGGCAACTCGAACATCGGCGAGCCCGACTATGTTGGACCAGCGAGCGCTCGATGGATCGATTTCGAAGTCAATCGCAAGCTTGCGAATCTTCTGCAGCAACTCATCGCCCTCTAACGCGATCTGCGCCTTGCGTTCGTTCTGCAACACATTGACGTCCGAGAGCTCCAGTAGCGTCTGTGCGTCGCCCTTCCTATACTTGTCGCTCGGGCCATGCATAGCCTTGATGCACGCGAGCTTGAATAGCACCCCCGACCCCTCCTTCGCGATCTTGCAAGTCGCGACGGCTGCCGCGACATCTGACTTTACTATCGTCGCTCTGGCCAGGTGCCTGTTGAAGTCCCTTAGCTCGTGAAGAAACACTGGATTGTCCAGTCCGCCTGACATTTCCTTCACATAGTCCACCATGTGGTCTATCTCATGCTTGAAGACTGCGCCCCTGCCCGCCTGGCGCCTGACCTTATCTCATGGGAACGTCCCATTCGGATTCAGCTCTAATTTCTGCTTCAGGCTCTTCGCGTACTGCGCAATCTTGAGCATGATTTCCAGCCTGCTCTCGCACTTGGCAGCGGCCTGCCCTGCGTTGCCCGCTTCTTGCACAAGGTCTGGAACGAAAGGAAACGCCTCGATAAACTGCCATTTGAAGATGTCCCATGTGATACCGTTTACAGCCGCATCAGCATAAGTTGGTTGGAATTGCTGGAGGCGTTGCAACGATATCTTCCCGTCCTGGCTTATGTCGCTGAACCGCTCTGGGTTGGTCTCGGGCACGTTCGTGCCATGTATGATGCATCGCAAACCTTGCGATGTATGACCGCATGTGTAACTCTGATATTTACCATCACCATCATCGTAGAACGGCAGCTGTCCTGCGCTATCGGCCATTATCTTGTCGTTAAACCCTTTGATCTTGAGGTACTCAGCAGTGCCCACTGGGGGCACCTCGGCACACGTAGGCATCAACAGATGCTCGTGCCTGAACCCATTTCCCCATATTTTAATGATCAAGTCAGTGACGTCACACGGCACGACGCCGTCGCCATATCTGTTGCATGGGCTCACGTACATATACTTACTGTTGATTTTCTCTGTCAGTAGCATACCATGTTGGCGAGCTATCGCCTTGACCTGTTCGTACAAATCCACCACCTCTGCTTTAGGCGAGTCGAACTTCCTCTCAATAATGTCCACTGCGTCCTTGCATTTGAGAATCTTAGCATCCGCTCCATGCGGCTGCATGTCTCAGATGGATGCAAGACGCAACTTGCAAATCGTGAGCACAAAATGATGCGCGCGAAATGCCCTGGAGCCCAAATGACAACGGACTCAACATGGCATGCCCAAAAAACAACATGCAACTCAATTGTTGCAACACTACCTGCGGATTTGCATCGATTGCAATTGTGATCAGCGTAGATATGATATGCGAGAAGTCGCAATGATGAGTGCAACACTTGCAAAAATATTATCAAATTCTTCTTTTTTTGAAGAGTACACCCTGCAAAATATATGATTATGTCGATATGGTGAGAACCATGTTGAAAAGTTAGCGGTGTTACTAACTTGTATAACTCGGGCTAACTCAGGGCTCCGACTTAGCAAACATATAAGTGCGCCAACACATTATAACATGTTATAACCTGTTATAACCTACTTACAACATACTTATAACCTACTTAAAACTATCGATAACTCTTATAACAGGTCAATTCCTTCAGGCTCCTCCTCCTCCTCCTCCTCCTCCTCCTCCTCCTCCTCCTCCTCCTCCCCCTCCTCCTCCTCCTCCCCCTCCTCCTCCCCGATGGGCGGCCGCGTCCGAGCCCCACCCCAGCCAAGCGTCGGTCCTCCTGCACTCGTGGGGGGAGCGGGGCGGGCTTCGGCTTTCGCCGCGCGCTCGACGAGCTCCGGACCCTACCCCCGCCGCCCCTCGAGCTGCCCGAGGCTCGGATCGGCGAGGGCCGGGTTCGGACTTCGCCACTGACCCGAGGCCAAAGTGCCGCTCGCCGCCGCGCGCGTGCCGCAGCCGAGAGGGCTGCAGCTAACGGGCGGTTCGGATGCGCGGCGCCGCCACGCCGCGCGCAGAGGGCAGAAATGGGGGAGGGTAGCAGCGTGAGTGCCTGTTCCTCCTCTTCCTCCTGTTCCTCCTGTTCCTCCTCCTCCTCCTGATCCTCCTCCTGTTCCTCCTCCTGTTCCTCCTCCCCCTCCTCCTCCTCCTCCTCCTCCTCCTCCTCCTCCTCCTCTCGTCCTCCTCCTCCTCCTCCTCCTCCTCCTCCTCCTCCTGTTCCTTATGTTCCTCCTCCTTCTCCTCCTCCTCCTCCTCCTCCTCCTCCTCCTCTCGCAGCTGCCTTCGGGGTCGCCGGCTCAGGGGCCAGGGCGACGTCCGGGACGCAGCCTCCGCGGGGGCGGGCGGAGGCGGCGGGCACGAGGCGACGGGGGACGCACCGCCAGACGGCCGAGGGAGCAGGGAGCATGGGGAGGAGGAGGAGGAGGAGGAGGAGGTGGAGGAGGAGGAGGAGGAGGAGGAGGATGCGGATGAGGTGGAGGAGGACGAGAGGAGGGGGAGGAGGAGGACGAGAGGAGGAGGAGGAGGAGGAGGAGGAGGAGGAGGAGGAGGAGGAAAAGGAGGAGGAGGAGGAGGAGGAGGGGGAGGGAGGAGGAGGAGGAGAAGGAGGAGGACGAGAGGAGGAGGAGGAGGAGGAGGAGGAGGAGGAGGAGGAGGAGGAGGAGGAGGAGGAGGAGGAGGAGGAGGAGGGGGAGGGGATGATGCGGAGGAGGAGGAGGACAGGGGAAACATCTTGACGCCCGACATGGGTACGAAAATAGGTACGACACTGGACAGCCAGTGCAACCCGTCCGAAAGCGACAATGGCCGCTGTTGGGCAGGCGGCCTCCTGTCCAAAACGGAAAACGTCCGCGCCGAAAACGACAGCGAATCCTGTTCAAAAGGAGCAGTTACTCCTGTCGAGCTTCGTACCCTTTCGCTCAGTACCCTTGTCGAACGGTCCTAGAAAAGACACGCGGTCGTGAGCGAGAGCATGAATCGTCCATGTAATCGGCCGTGCGAGCCGGGCCCTTGGTGGGCCACGACCCCGTGGGTACGGGTACGGCGCGGCGCGATGTCTGTTTCGCGGATGCCCCGTTCGGAATGTATGCCACGGGACCGCCGAGTGAGGGGTGAGGGAAGGAGGGGGACTCCCAGCACGCACGTAAGCGCGTGCACACCCCGTTCGCTGGCTGCCCGTGGCGGCCAGATCCACGGATGAGCCAAGTGTGTGTCCTCACTGGCCACTTGTGACCCCGCGATCTGCGCTACTACCATGATCACCATCGCGATCGCCACCATCACCACTCCTGCGCCTCCTCCTCCTCCTGCTCCTCCTCCTCATCCTACCAACACAACCACCAACATCATAATCGTCATCACCACCACCACCATCATCACCATCATCGTGATTCCTCTCATCAACAGAATCACCATCATCATCAACATCGCCATGACTGTCATGTGCATCCACCACCTCCTGCTCCTCATCATCATCACCTTCACCGTCATCGTCGTCATCATTCCCATCGTCCTCATCATCATCCTCGTCCCCGTCCTGATCCTCAGCATAAGCACCAGCATCAACAGCACCCTCTTCATCATCATCATCAACATCATCACCGCCATCTCCACCCAAATCATCATTAGCATCGACGTCATCATCATTATCATCATCATTATCCTCATCATCAACATCACCACCGTCATCATCAGCATAGCCTTCATCATCATCGTCGTCAGCATCCCCATCCCCATCATCAGCATAATAATAGTCATCATCAGCATCATCATCAATATCACCAACACCATCATCAGCAGCATCTGCATCAACATCAGAATCCTCTTCCTCATCCTCCTCCTCGTCATCATCAACATCATCAACAGCATCGTCATCGTCATCGCCATCGCCATCGTCATCTTCATCGTCATCATCATCATCACCTCGATATGGTAATCAATATCGTCATCATGACCTTTGATACTACATCTCCTGGCGGATCCGCAAATCTCGTGACATCGGACGGGAGAGAGGCCGCACGAGCTGATCCGTCCACTCCCTCTTCTTCTCTCCTGACCCACCCAACCAGACGAGCACCGCTTCCTTGTCGAGCTCAGCTACCCTCCCTACGCTGCGACCTTGTGGGCTTATTGCTTCAAAGGCAGATTTTCCTCTAGAGAATCTGGAGGGGGGGGGAAAAGAGGGGAAGGAGGGAGGAGGGAGGAATCGTTGCGAAGGTTGAGCGCAAGCTTGGACGGGCAAGCAGGCGGGCAATGGCGGAATTGCACGACCGCTGGGAATACCCCAGAAAGTTTACATAGGCGGCCTCATAATGAGGAGGTGACATGTGTGACAGCGACGTGCGTCGTCTGACTAACCTCATGCCCGTGAGAATAAACACTAGGGGATAATAAAGTTCGGGGTTCAGGGAGAGATAATAAAAGTAGCCCAGCAGACCTCAGCATAATCTCGAAGTAAGAGATGATCAAGAGGAGACCAAGCCGAGCACAGCTCATGTGCCTCAATTTCCATGGATAATCAACCCCAGAGATAAAAAAAGTTCAGGCGAGCGTGGGGACAGCGAGAAATATAAAAGAAGAAGAATACAGTAGAATAATAATAAGAAAGAAGAAGAAGAGGAGACTAAGAAGAGGACGAACAAAGGAAAAATCCAAAGTTCCAAATCTATCAATTTTAATTTACAAGTGCTTTATGAAAATTGATGTTTTTAAGTGCTCGTGTAGGGTAGCTCATGTGCTTCGTTTTCCATGGATAATCAACCCCAGGGATAAAAAAGTTCAGGCGAGCGTGAGGACAGATAGAAATATAAAATAAGAAGAGGAAAGTAGAAGAATAATAAGAAGAGAAGAAGAAGAGAAGAAGAAGCAGAGAAGAAGAACGGAAAATGGAAAGTTCCAAATCTATCAATTTTAATTTACAAACGCTTTATGAAAATTGATGTTTTAAGTGCTCATGTAGGGTAGCTCATGTGCTCCCCTTTCCATGGATAATCAACCCCAGAGATAAAAAAGTTCAGGCGCGCGCGGGGATAGATACATATATAAAAAGGAAGATAATAAAAAAAAATGCAAATAAAAAGAAACACTTGCTGGTTTAGCTTGAAACATCCTTGAGACATCCTTGAAACATTGCTCGTTTCGTTTGAGTCTGCCTCCCAAAATTATTGGTTTCGCTTGACACATCCTGAAAAAGTGTGATCGCTTCGCTTGATGTTGCTATATCAACATCGCTTGATGTTGCTATCTCAACATAGCGTTTCGAGGTGATAATGAAGTTCGGCCTCAGCGCTCGCCGCCCAATTTGAATTTTGTATAGGGCGACGATAATCAACTCTAAACACTGAAGGGGGGGGTCCCTTTATTATCATCGGCATGCGGTTACTCAAGACATCACGAAGCTGCATGAAGACATGGCAAGACCAGAACCACATCTCAAGTTCGAGCCGTGTTGCACCAGATAGTGCAACAATCGCGCCATTATACTTGCAGCCTGGCTCCACATCCAGGGTGGTACGTGCGATGCCGAACGCCTGGCTAACGAATCCATCCTGTAATGTAAAGGAGAACGCTGCAAGTGCCAACAACGCCGCCGAATTTGGTTTCGAGGTCATACCTCGGGTCTCTAGCTGCCATTCGGGACGATCCCGGCGCCCCTGGAGCGCCCTCGGCGAGGCGCAGCTGCCGGCAAGCATCCCGAAGCTGAAAAACCGCCCCGAGACTGTGACTGTGATACATACTTGGTCCAATACAACTGAAAGTGCCCGCAGCGAACTGCACATCGAAGTGAGAGACATCTGCACAGAGGCGCTACCTCGACGTCTTGACCGCATTCTCTTTAAGGGCTCGTCCTCCAAACCCTCAAGAACATCACGATGCTGGCTGTGATGTTGGATGAGTCGACAACCAACTTCTTAGCTTCATGGTGGCTCGACAGGCGCCATGTCGCCAATCCCCTCGTGGGGAAGGGTTCGCTGTGTGCTGAACTGCCAGGGCTACGTAGGGATGTTCTGGGAAGAGACGTATTCTCCACAATCGAGCACCAAATAGGGGGGCGTCCAAGAGGAGGGGGTGCAAATCATGGCCGGCGGCATCTGCGCTGTCAAGGGGGGGGGGCAAGGACGTAATGGAATAAGAAGAGGCGCCATGAAATCTGGGGAAAAATCATGGCCCACGCCATGATATCCCCCCCCCCCTGGTCATCACCCCCTCTTTTTGAGCAGGGACCGACCGTCCCCCCGGCATTTCTATAGTCCTACCACGGAATGTTCTAAGAACCCCCAAAATGTTTCATGAGCAAAAACAGTTTTCTTAGAACTTACGCGTCATGTGCTAAAACGAGACAGCCCCAGCCAGAAATGTTCTAGGAACATTTCGTGGACACCACAAGCGGTTCTTAGAACATTGTTTAGTGGGGCTATAGGCGAGCCAGGACGCTTCGCCACTGCTTGATCTTTGCCGCCCCCGACCAGGCCATCTCGTGCTCCACTTGCCCAGGCGCCGGTACAGTGTCCCGGCGACCGTGTCCGCCACCTGGTCTCCGCTGTGGCCTTCTTCCGTGGCGCAACCATAAACCGACTGGCGCTCCAGGTCCCTCGACGCCCTGCCCGACGAATGACTCATTCTAGGAGGCAACTGCTGGGAGGCTTTCGTCGGAAAAATTAAGCGGGATTAAGCCGGATTAAGCGGCATTAAGCGGGATTGAGCCGGACTGAGCGGGATCAGGCTGGATTGAGCCAGATTTCGGACCAGGGCGAAAACAAAATTTGACCTCCCAGGAGTTGCATCCGAACTTATTGGGGTAAGGCCAACTGCGTGCTGGCGGGGATCATGACCGACACATCCGCAAATACGAACTGTTCTAATCTGCCCGACTGGCCTTGATTTGCTGGGGGCCCTCGCGTGCGGCTCCCGCATGCGTTGATGAAGCAGAAATGTCCACGCTGTCACCCGGAAGCGGCTAATTACTCATGTCGAACTCGTGCTCTCACTCCGCATTGAGGTCCTGCTCCGCTTTTCCTTTCGTATCCGGCCCAGTCACATCCTGCTGGTCTTGCACTCGTCACAGGCTTGGGCCAGAAGGGCAGCAACGATTCGCTCGCTGATGCGCCAGACAAAGGCGTACGCGGTGTCCACCTCAAGGAGCTCATTGCAAGGATTGGGATCGATGGCACCACGCTGCTGCGCCCGAGTACTGGAGCCCCTGGCAATCGTCATCGGCGAACTCAGACACGAGCCAGATGCGATGCTCCGTGCAGCATCGCTGCGATCAACCATTATGGGTTACCGGTGGCAGAAAAAGCTTACCATTTGAGCCACACACGCCACACAATACTATGTACCCGATTTCCTTCCCCTCCGGCTCAACCTCGCTGAGACGGAAGGCGCAAGTCATACCCGAGCCAAAATTAGCATCGCCGTCAAAACAAGCGGTACTAGTATGAGACCTCCCATCCCAACTGCGTCCTTACTCAACACAGAGGTGTCCGTTTGGAACCCCCAGGGGACCCGCCATCTTGAGCCACATTGGCCACGGGGAGATAAAACAAAAGATGAGGGAGGAGGAGGAGGAGGAGGAGGAGGAGGAGGAGGAGGAGGAGGTGGATGAGGAGGCGTGTGAGGGGAGGAGGAGGGGGAGGAGGAGGAGAAGGAGAAGGATCACGCGCCCTGCCGAGACCCTTGCGGACCAGCTGGTGAAACCTTTTTGAGGCGGGCGCGGACGCAGGAGCGGTCGGCATCGCAGCGGCAAAAGTCGGATCGGATCGGACGGTGCAGTCGGAGCGTTGACCTAAGGCATCCAACATAAGAAACGGGTCCCCTTTTTTCCCAGAAGTCAAACTTCGATGTCCCGATGGAAGACCTCAGGAAAACCTAAAGCAAACTGTAAAACAGTCAAGGAACACGGAGCCCCTCCCCAACGAAAAGATGCCTTCTTCAGCGCCCCGACTGTACGTCGGATCGGCCTGCATTGGCATAGAGTCGGCAACGAATCGGATCGGCCCGGATCGGCTGCGCTGGGATGCACAGGTGCTCCTTGCAAACATCGGGCAACGTCGGATCGCTGGAACATAGAACTCACATCGGATCGAACCGGCCGAAGTCGGTATCGATCCGATTGAACGGATCGAAGTGGGCACTGGGGGGGGGCCTGGGGAGGGGGGGGGGCGTCTCTCCTCCCTCCTCTCCCTCATACCACCCCTCCCTACTATTCTCCTCCCTCCCGTCCCTCCGTCCCTCTCCTCTCTCTTCATCCCTCCTCTTCCATCAATCCTTCTCCCTACCACCCATATCTTCCCTCCCATCCCTCTTCATTCCTCCCCTCTCTCCTCCTCCCTCCCTCCCTTCCTGCGGAGCAACAACAGGCGGGAAGCGGTGCGCGCTTCTCAGGGACTCCCACGTCAGAATCTGCTGGAGCCAGCAAAGATGAATGCCTGGCAGCACGGAGGAGGAGGAGGAGGAGGAGGAGGAGGAGAGAAAAGAAGGAGCTTGGGAGGAGAGGAGGAGGAGGAGGAGGAGGGGAGGAGGAGGTGAGGAGGAGGAGGAGGAGGGGCAGGGGAGGGAGGGAGGGGAGGGGGAGGGGGAGGAGGGGGAGGAAGGAGGGGGGAGGAGGAGGAGGGAGGAGGAGGAGAGGAGAGGAGAGGAGGGGAGGAGGAGGATGGAGAGGATGAGGATGAGGAGGAGGAAGAGGAGAAGAAGAAGGACGAGGAGGAAGAGAAAAGGAGGAGACGAGAAGGGAGGAGGGGGAACGGAGAAGGTGGAGGAGGGCCAGGGGAAGGGAAACGCAGTGGGGGGGAAAAGCAGTGGAAGGGGTGCCGGTGGGGCAGGGGAGGGTTGGGGGTAGAACGAGGAATTTGATGTGTTGACCTCTTGTGAAGCTCTGCTCGACGATGTCTGGTTTCTGACGGAACTCTCGCTGCGTGAGCTCACTGTGAGCTCGCAGCGCTGCCCGAGAACGGCCCGGACCCTTGTCTGCAAAAGGAGCGCGGGGAAACGAGGTAAGGAGAAGCAACAAACAAACAAAAACACAACACAACAAAACAAAACACAAACAACACACAAAAAACACACACACACACACAAAAGGGGCGCGGGGAAACGAGGTAAGGGGAAAAGAGATGGTCCGCGGCATCTGGAGGCACGAGGAGCTCGATGATAACGATGAGGAGGAGGAGGAAAGGGGCGCATACCGGAACATTGAGGGAGGGGGGAGAACCGAGGAGAGAGGAAAAAAAGAGAAGGGAGGAGTTGACGGAGGGACAAGGAGGAGGAGGGAGGATGTTGAGAGATGGCGGGGCAGATGCAGGCAGGCGGAGTGGGCAGGAAAGCACGAAAGAGGAGGGATCCCTCCTCACCTTCTGCCAGGGCAGGCGAAAGGAGGGGTCAGCGTAGGAGTGCGGGGGGGAACGGGGGGGAGGGGGGGGGGGGGGGGGGGGCGAATCAGCTGCGCGCGTGGCTGCTTCTCCTGCCGCCCCCAGGGCGGCGGCCATCCTCCTCCTCCTCCTCCTCCTCCTCCTCCTCCTCCTCCTCCTCCTCCTCGTCTTTCTCCTCCTCCTCCTCCTCCTCGTCTTCTTCCTCCTCCTCCTCCTCCTCCCCAGGCCCCAGACGGGGTCGGAGCGGAGAAGGAGGAGGAGGAGGTGGATGTTGAGGAAGAGGAGGAGGAGGAGGAGGAGGTGGAGGAGGAGGTGGATGAGGAGGCCCGAGCATCTCGCCACATCGCCGATACATCGGCCACGCCGATCAACAACATCGTCATCATCCCCATCCGCCTCCCCGTCCTCATCATCATCCTCATCACGGCCCTCCCAAGCCCGGGGACACGAGCATGTCGCCCGTGACGGCCTCTCGTGCCCCCTGGAACGGTCGCGGCCCGAATGCTGGGCTGGCACGTGGGCGGGACTTGCCGCAAGCAACTGGACATCTCTTGCCCGCACCACTTGGGCAGGGACCGACCGTCCCAGCATTCCTATAGGCCTACTACGACATGTTCTTAGAACCACGGAGCGTTCGAAAAACAAACATTATGCTCTTAGAACATGGGCCCGATGTGTTGAAACAAGGCGGCCTCGGCCAGACATGCTCTGACAACATTTCGCGCAGGCCTCAAGAGGCTCTTCTATTATTAGTTGATGGGCCTATATGAAGGGGCCCTGGGACACACACATAAATACACACAAATAACAGGATTCCCCATACTTTGGTATATTTCCTGGGTTTTGTCTTCCCCCCCACTGCCCATATGTTCCCATGTTTCCCAACCATCCTGTGGTGTTGGGTCCTCGTTTTGAAGAGACGGTCCCCGCGTTCTCCTCCTCTCGTGCCCCCCCCTCCTCCCTACCGTCCGCATGCGTCCAGCACACCCAGTACAGCGCTTCGTGGCCCCATAGGGAGCCCCACCGAAGGTCCCAGTGCTATCGTCCGCATGCGTCCCGCAGACCGAGTACAGCTTTTCGTGGCCCCATAGGGAGCTCCACCGAAGGTCCCAGTGCTACCATCCGCATGCGCCCCGCACACCCAGTACAGCGTTTCGTGGCCCTCCTCCCCCATCCTCCCTGCGTTTCACCCATCCAATACAGCGCTTCGTGGCCCCATAGGGAGCCCCACCGAAGTTCCCAGTGCTACCGTCCGCATGCGTCCCGCACACACAGTGCAGCTCGTCGTGGCCCCATAGGGAGCCCCACCGAAGGTCCCAGCGCTACCGTCCGCATTCGTCCCGCGCACCCAGTACAGCGATTCGTGGCCCTCCTCCCCCTCCTCCCTGCGTTTCGCCCACCCAGTACAGCGTTTCGTGGCCCCATAGGGAGCTCCACCGAAGGCCCCAGTGCCCCCGTCCGCATGCGGGTCAGAAGCCCAATTTGGCATTTTCACGTAAGCAGTGCAGCGTTTCGTGGCCCCATAAGGGGCTCCACCCAAGGCCCCAGTGCCACCGTCCGTATGCGTCCGGGAAATGTAATTTGGCATTTTCACCCGCGCAGTGCAGCGTTTCGTGGCCCCATAAGGGGGCTCCACCGAAGCCCCCAGTGGGACCGTCCGCATGCGTCACGGTAACCCAATTTGGCATTTTCACTCACTCAGTAGAGCGCTTCGTGGTCCCATAGGGAGCTCCACCGAAGCCCCCAGTGGGACCGTCCGCATGCGTCCAGGAAACCCAATTCGGCACACATCCCACACAGTACAGCGTTCCCCCCCGCCCAGTGCAGCGCTTCGTGGCTCCATAGGGATCTTCACTGAAGCAGATATTCACAATTACGGTACTCACAACTGCATAGGGTTGCTAAGCCAGGTCACCGAGGCTGGTCAGCGAAAGTCGCTAAGGATGGGTCGAAGGGGCAGGGATGCAAGGGCACTCCATCCTTACTATGCGGGTTGATTGTAGAGGATGAGGTGCAGAGTGATGTAGGATGCAGTCAGGGGGGAAGAACCTCCTCCGCCTCCCCCTCCAATTCTTCCACCTCCTCCGCCTCGCCCGTCTCGTTCTCATCCTCGTCGCTCCTTCTCCCCCTTCTGCATCGTTAGCCGCCCTCTTGGGAAGAGGAGAGAAACATATAGAAATAGAGAGAAACAGAACAAGGAGAGTGAAGGAGAGGAAGGCCGACTTAGCCTCGGCAATATCCATGCACGACGATCCCGGCTAGGCCATGAACAGATCTGTAGGTCCGCCCTCCTGACTGGGCCGGTCACGCAGGATAAATGAGCAGACATACAGCTGACGTCCGCGACGCCTCGTCATCCTCGTCACACTTCAAAATACTTCTCCTCTCATCCTCGTGGGAGGCCAAGGGGGCGGGGGACGAGGAATGGCAGCGGGAAGTTGTCCTCTCCATCCTCGTCCTCTTCGTCCTCTCCGTGTTCGTGGTCTTTGCCACGGTTGGCATCGGCCTCCTCGTGCTCCCCCCCCTTCCCCCCCCTGGCCCTCTCGCCCCCTCCTAGAGCGCGCCTGTGACCTCCTCGAGCGTGAGGGAGCCGAACCTGTGGTGCCTGACAGAGCCAACGCGCGGTCCCAGGGCGGGAGAGGAGGAAGGGATGGGAGGAGATAGGAAGAGGAATGAGGAATACAGGGCGAGGGGAAGAGCGTGGCGGGAAGAGAACTTAAGGAGGGAAAAGGGGGCGCAGGAGGGCGGATAGGGGATAGCAGGGGGGAGGAGAGAAGAGAGGGATTAGGGGGAAGGAGGACGATCAGGACGAGGAGGGGTTAAAGGGAGGAGGAGGAGGAGGAGGAAGGAAAGAAGGGAAACCACGACGACGGATGACAACGACGAGGAAAGAACAATACGACTAAATGGATATGCGTTTCGGTCGAATCAGCACCTTGTCTCATCATCATGCTCCTCGTCCTCGTCCTCCATCCACTCCCTGCACTCCCTCGTCTCAGGGTTCTCCTCCTCCCCCATAATCGTTCCTTATCCCCCCCATCAAATCGCCCCGCTGCGACACGTGTTAGACAGCCGCCAGCTTGTAGAACCTTCGCGCGTGAGCAGACGCCCCAGGATGCGGTCGCATCACTTGTTGCATGCAAGTGGTTAGTGTGTTTGTTTATGACGCGTGCGCTCGGGCAGCAGCCCTGGCCTCTGCACTCAGGGGCAGGCCGAGCCGAGCCGCGTATAGGAATACACATAAAGGAACACACACAAACATGCACGTGCGAATATGGCGTCGCGGGGAAGCCGCACCGCAAGCCCTTCCCCCCCCCCCGCACACACACTCACGCACGCACGCACACACACACACACACACCACGCCCCCCCCCACACACACACACACACACACACACGCACACACACACACACACGCACCCGCGCACACACACGCACACACACACACAGGGCGCGCACAAATAAACACACACACACACGCACACACACACACACGCACGCGTGCCCACGCGCAGGTACGCGCACACACGCACCCACCCACACACACACACACACACACATGCGCGCGCACGCGCGCCTACACACACACACACACACACACGCGGGCGCACGCACACACACACACACACACACACACGCGCGCACACACACACACACACGCGCGCGCTCACACACGTTTTGGTGCCGAAGCCCTGCGCGCGGCGACACAGAAGACCGAGAAGCGCTGGAAGCGCCCGAGCATTCAGAGACCGCTGTGGGTCACACACACACACGCTCACACGCTCTGGTTCCTCCGACGCGCTAGTGAGTTCCAGCCACGGATAATAACGATCACGGCGAGTGGCCATATACTGATGAACCTTTTGTGGAAAACTTCCTGAAAACAACGACCGACAACGAGTGCCAGACGAAAACGGCAGACGCTGGAAGGAGAACAAAGGAGCTCTCTAATCCGAGAGGAACGTGAGCGAACGACAGGAGGAACACAAACTTCACATTTTCCTGACTGGCTGATCAAACGTAGCTTGCGGCGGGACACGTCTAGATCAATTACCACCGAACGTCAACTTGTGTACGGTCAGGACGTAACTGACGCGCACAAGGAAAAATTGGGGCTAGACCCAACGCGCGAAGAAACAGGCGGCCTGCAAACGAAGACGGAGCGGCGACACCGTCAGCCGCGACCAACTTCAAAAGTGCGGAGTGGCCGGTGGGGCACGGGTCGGCAAAGCGGTGGACCGGGCCCAACTGCAAACACGAAAGGCCGACGCGTGGCCAACCAGGCGGACGACCCGGAGGAGCGGCGACAGCAGCACGAGGCAGAGAGAGGGGACGACACCAGATAAATTGGAGACACACACTCACACACGTTTCTCCGCCATCGCCGCGTCACATCGAAGCGTGTTCCCGTGAGGCGCTCACGCTGTTCATCTGACGCGCCGCTGGCTCCAGACAACGGGCGCACGGTGACGGGACGCGCTGACCACGAGCCAGTGTCCCTGCGAAGCGGCGCGGCAGCTCTGCACGCCTGAAGACTGCGCGACGATCGAGGTGCAAACACGCACACACACACACACACACACGCAATTTCCTCCAACCTTGTGGTGGCGCACTTGCGGGTCCAGGTGATGCGGGCAACGCAGAAGAAACGAACTGCCTCACATGCTCTTGGGAGGGCACCGAAGACGCTGTGGGATCCTGGGTGAAGTAAACGCAGGAGGGAGAGGCGCGGGAGACAAACAGGACAGAACGATGCAAAAGGCTACAGGCGACGAACACCGATGCCAGGCGGCCCGGCGGGCGCCGTGCTGGCGAAACCACACACACCAACACATAGGGCCATAAACATTCTCTCTCTCTCTCTCTCTCACTCTCTCTCACCAATTGCTGCGTACTCAATGAACTTGTCCTATCTCACGACGCAAGCAAGCGGCTCGACCCCGCCAAACTACGGGGAACGAATGCCACGCAACCATTGCACAATCGATATTGGACCGCAACCGAAACATCTCGTAGTATATCTGAAAGCCCACGTCACAGAACCGAGGGAATGCCTGCACACAAAACAATTTGCATGCATGACGGGCACACTCGGTCCCCCCACACGCTGCTCTGTCACGCTACTCTCCGCAGGTCATTGGCGACACGAAAGTCTCACAGGTAATGCACTCGAAAGGCACAACATAGGGCAGTGGCTGAGCCCGAGGGGAGGAAGGGGAAAGAGGAAAGGAGGAACGGGAATGGTAGATGGGGCAACTTGATGTGCTTTATGTGTAAGGGTGACTCTTAAGACCGATTCCGCCCTATTACCGCCTATGAGTGTTCACAGGTGTACCCGTTAGCGCCTATTAGCGCCTATTAGCCCCTGTACTACTAAACAGTAACTAACGCTGGTAGCCTAGCAGGGAAACAACTCATGCCTAACATGACTCTCACGCATGAAACACCTACAGCTAGCACACCTATAACCAGACGCAGGCCTTCTGGGGGAGAGTTGATACCAACCCTGCCCCAGGGTACTCACTCTCCCACTCTCCTCCCGCTCGCCCACCCACCCACCCCTTCAACTCCCACCACATCCCGCACCCTCCGATCCCCATGGGCGCACTCGCGGATCGTGTCCGCGGCGTCCCGCCAAAACTGCGGTTGGGCCGACATGGACTCGGCGCGGAGTATCTCCTCCGCCGGCCATGTCTCTCCTCCTCACCGTCCTCTGCCTGCTCCAACTCCGCGTTCTCCTGATCCTCCCAAGCCTTCCCCTCCTCCTCCTCCTCTTCCCTCCTCCTCCTCCTCCTCCTCCTCCTCCTCCTCCTCCTCCTCCTCCTCCTCCTCCCCCTCCCCCCCCCTCCCACCTCCTCCTCCTCCTCCTCCTCCTCCTCCTCCTCCGCCTCCCTCCTCCGCCTCCCCGCCTCCTCCTCCTCCTCCTCCTCCTCCTCCTCCTCCTCCTCCTCCTCCTCCTCTCCTCCTCCTTCCTCCTCCTCCTCCTCCTCCTCTCCTCCTCCTCCTCCTCCTCCCCTCCTCCCTCCCCCTCCCCCCCTCCTCCTCCTCCTCCTCCTCCTCCCTCCTCCTCCTCCTCCTCCTCCTCCTCCTCCTCCCTCCTCCTCCTCCGCCTCCGCCTCCGCCTCCGCCTCCGCCTCCTCCTCCTCCTCCTCCTCCTCCTCCTCCTCCTCCTCCTCCTCCTCCTTCCTCCTCCTCCTCCTCCCCCCTGCCCCTCCCCTGCCCCTGCCCCTGCCCTCCTCCTCCTCCTCATCCTCCTCCTGCCCTCGCCTTCTCTTCCTCTTCCTCCACTCCTCCTCCTTCCTCCTCTCCGTCCTCCTCCTCCTCCTCCTCCCCTCCTCCCCATCATTGCCGTCGTTGTCATCACCATCCTTACTCACTTCCATCGTGCCCTCGGTGTCAACATCATTGCCATCATCGGCAACATCCGCATCCGCAGCCGCATCTGGCAGCCGCATCCTCCTTCTCCTCCTCGCGGTCCGCTCCTCGTTCTCATCCTCCTGCTCCTGCCTGCCCCCCTCCTCCCTCCCTTCCAGTCGGGGTACAGGGCCCTCCTCCATGTCATGACGTCGGCAGCAAGCTCAGGACGGGTGGATGAGCGTGGTTGGGCGCCCCTCGCGCATCGGGCCTCCGGTCGCCGTACCCCTGTGGCCCGTGCTGTGGTGGATCCCTGGCAGGTCGTCGCCCGTCCCATCGCAGAGGGCTGAGCCTCCCAAACCGGATCCGCCTGGGGAGAACAGGGAGAGCGACGAGCAGAGCGAGCCCACCTTCGTCATGTACGCCGTACTGGAAAGTTTGGACTTCATTGAGTCTCTGATGTTACCAGCCTGGAACATATCCAGATCCCTATGCTGGGCATCGCCCCATCACGATGCCAATCTTAGGGATTCCCTCAGCCTTTGAGGGCGCATCCCTAAGATTGCCATCGCCTTTCGGCGTGTCAATCTTAGGGATAGGGATAGGTTCGAGGCTGGTGATGATGGACGAGGATGGGACTATCGTGGAGGCCTTCGCCACCAGAGCCATCGCCAAACTCGGGAGCCCCGCTGAGAACCAGCCCCACGCCACGGAGGCACCCGTGGACGTGAGCGCTTGCGGCCACTACGAGGACGCGGACGAGCGATGGTCCGCGAGCGGGGCCCCTCTGGAGCAATCAAGGCATTCGTGCCCTCCCACGACCACTTCGAGGCGAACAAGGATCAGATTTACCAGCCTCGAACGTATCCCTATCCCTAAGATTGACACGCCAAAAAGCGACGACAATCAGTGGGATTCGCCCTCAAAAAATAAGGGAATCCCTAAGATTGGCATCGTGATGAGGAGGTGCCCAGCATAGGGATAGGGATATGTTCCAGGCTGGTAACAGATACCTGCAGGCCAGCGGCCCATGCCTGGCTCCGCTGCAGAACTGCTGCGACGGAAGGAGGACGCGCCAACCAGCAGCGACGAGTGCCCAGATGGCCTCGAGGACGGTAATGCCTCCCCGAACGGAGACATCTGGAAGGCGAGGTGCTACGACCTGGCCGGCGACGACCCTGGGGCAGCTCTGGCAGCCGAGTTCGAGCAGAAGGCGAGGCCAGCCAGCCTGAAGTCGGACGATTACATTGCCCCCCTTGGGGCCGCTTGATCTCGAAGCACGGCGTCCTTTCTGTTCTGCCTCCTCGTGCAGGCACTCTTTTGGAGGAGTGCCATGTCCTTGGGGAAGGATGCCCTCCGTCCCCTCCCCGGGCGTCTGCGGGCTCACCAGGAGCACGGGTCGGTGCAGCTCTGGCATGCGAATGGAAGACAGCAAGCCACAAACAAATCACCCAGGAAGAAGCCTCCCTCCTCCCTCCTCTTCCTCCTCCTCCTCCTCCTCCTCCTCCTCCCTCCTCCCTCCTCCTCTCCCCCTCCTCCTCCTCCCCCTCCCTCCTTCCTCCTCCCTCCCTCCTCCTCCCCCTCCTCCTCCTCCCTCCTCTCCTCCTCCTCCTCCCCCCCCCCTCCTCCTCCATCCTCCTCCCCCTCTTCCTCCTCTGCCCTCCTCCTCCTCCTCCTCCTCCTCCTCCTCCTCCTCCTCCTCCTCCTCCTCCTCCTCCTCCTCCTCCTCCTCCCTCGAGGGCGCTGAGAAGCAAACTTATGCCATGGGCTGGATACCGGGGGCCCCGCGAACAGGCCAAATAGAGCTACCAGCACGGCTAGAACCAGCACGCCTCGCCTTGCTTTTCCCCTCTTCCTTTCCTCCACACTCGCACGTAAGAGTGCGAGTCCTCCGTCTCCCTCCCTCTCTCCTCCTTGAGTGGGTCGCCCAGTTCAACGAATGTTGCTGTGCCCCTGCGAGCGGGCTCTCTTTCCAGGTGTTCGGTCCCCGGGATCGCTCTGGAGCGCTGCGGGCGCCGCAAAGGGGGCCCAGCGCGGATCCAAGAAGTCCGCGCGGAGCGCCAAAAGTTTATGCTTATGGCGGGTTTCCTTCTTCGAGTTGTCGTCGTCGTCGTCCTTCAGGGTCGGCGGCCTGGGCCGCAGGGCCCTCGCAATAAATCGGGCCCAGTCGCGAGGGCGGGCCGCGCCGCGGCCCGCGGTCTCCCCTGCCCGCGGCGCCCGGGCCGGACGCCGGAGGACGCAGAGCACGCCATCGCTCGGACGTCCGTTTCGTGAGCGATTGTCATACAGTCGGACTTGATTGGAGAGGACACGCGAGAGGACACAAGACTCTTCCGAGGGCCACCTTGCCACAGAACTGCAGGGGGCACGGGTCGCAAGACACAGGACACGAAGGTGCCCTTGATCTGGCAGGGTCGACCTACTAGTCTGGGCCGCCTGTATTCGGCGTTTCGGCACTGGGCGGAAGGGGGGGAGGGGGGGGGTCTGGCTCTGGACCTCTGCTCAGTGCGACTGTTTGCAGCAGTGCGTCCTGAGGGAAAGGGGCTCCACCTGCTCGAAGCAGGCACCAAAAACAGCCAAGATCTAATAAATGGGGGGGAAGGGGGTTTGGGGGGCCCGCGCCGATCGGCAAAACAATGAATAGAAAAACAATCACTTTCCCGTGCGCTGCTTGGCGTTGTGTCCAATAGGAGCTCCACCACAAGAACCCTTCACAGGAAATCCAACCCTGAGACCCCAGGGAATCCCTTGATGCTCGGTGTGTGGGAACGTCACGCTCTCCACGGCGACACAATCGAAATCCGAGAAACTCCGGGCACCCTGGAGGCAAGCAGGGCGCTTCTTGGCAGGGGCGTCCACTGTCTGCCTCGCTCTCGCAAGGTGGTCAAAGAGTTTCTGGCGCTGGCCCCGCCGAGAGACATGCACGACATCCAACGATGCCGAGGTAGCCTGGGCTTCCCGTCATAGGATTAGGTCGGGCCTGTCCCCCTGCAGGGGGATTGTGGAGGAAACATGGGATAGTCAAAACATGCACCGAAAATGCTCAACAATTGTCAAACAAATCGTCCCCAGACTATTTTTGGACTATTCTTGGACATTCCTCCTGTAGAGGCACGGGAGGATGGCGCTAATCGGCGAAACAGTGAACGAAAGAACGGGAAGGTGCACTGTTTGGCTCTGTGTACTTCTTCCAGGTCCTCTGCCTGCTCCTCCGCCTCCTCCTCCTCCTCGTCCTCCTCCTCCTCCTCCTCCACCTCCTCCTGCTCCTCCTCCTCCTCCTCCTCCTCCTCCTCCTCTTCCTCCTCCTCCCCCCCTCCCTCCCTCCCTCCCTCCCCCCTCCCCCCCTCCCCCCCCCCCCTCCCTCCCTCCCTCCCCCCCTCCCTCCCTCCCTCCCCCCCGGGGGCGCTGTTGTCACGATGTTTCGGCGCTGTCCTCGTCGAGAACAGGATGCAAAATCGAGCGAGGTCGAGACAGCCCAAGGTGTTCTCATACTTGCTGGGCCAATTCGCCACCGCCACTGCCATGGGTCGGACGGGGGAGGAGGGAGGATGGGGAGGTGTTTCTCCTCCTCCTCCTCCTCCTCTTCCTCCTCCTCCTCCTCCTCCTCCTCCTCCCCCTCCTCCTTCTCCTCCTCCTCCTGGGCATGAGGTTTTCATTTCTGATCTGAAATCGCTCGTGGAGGAGGGTGCGTCCTGGGACCAGAGGCTCGAGTTTGGCAAAGCGAAGCACGCCCGAGTCTGGAGAGATATTTTTTCGGCTGCCAGAGCACGCGATCCACGTCTGCCACCAGTGCGGTTTCAGTGGACTCCAGCTCACAGGAAGCTGGAGGACATCATCGGGTCGGCCACGCCAGACGAGCTGGAGGCCTACGTCGGCAATGCCTGGGCCGACTTCTTCGCGAAGTGTGGCAGTGCTGCGCATATGGTGTCAAAGACACTGGCTGACAGTTTGGCAGCTGGGCTGAAGCAGCACAGGCAGGTCCTGCACTATGTGTCGTGGGCGGCCTTCCAGGTTGTGCAGTTTCGGAGGTGGGGGGCCGACCCTGTCGTGGAGCAGGACCCAGAGCTCGCCCAGGTGCCCAAGCGTGTGGTTTTCGAGAGGCCCCAGGACCACGAGTTGCTCTTCTGCCAGAGGACGTCTGAGTATCGGTGTCGACGGTGCAATCGTGTCGCTCGGAGTGCGAGTACCCTCCAGACTCTTCGTTCGGGAGCTGATCGGGTATGTGCTCCCTCGCCTCTCGTCCAGAGCCTTGCCGAGGACTACTTTCTGCGAAGTTCTGAGGCGTGGCTGAGTGTGTCGGATTCTAGGGTCACGGCGGCCATCGAGGCGGCCGATAGGATGTTGGGGTCCACGTCTCGGCCTTTGGAGGCCTCCTCGGGGTTCCCCGCGGTCCCTCCCCAGCCGCTGGAGCAGGTGTCTGCTGCCAGCGGCTCGGCTGACGTTCCCCAACCTGTGCTTGCCGAATTCGCTGAATTGGGGCATGACGTTTTCTGTGTTAATTCCGTGTATTGCTGCCGCAAGTGCGGTGGCAATTTCAACGGGTCCGAGTCCTTCAGGTCCGCCCGCAAGCTGCGGGCGCAGTGCCAAGGTTTCTCGGAGAATCCAAAGACTAGGGCGAACCAGCTCACGGCGATCGACCGTGTCACCCGTGGCCTGGAGCCCCGCCAGCGTGGGGCAGGAGCGGCGCGTTCTGGTCCGAGCCCTGCCCCCTAGAGTTTTCTTTTGGACTCGGGCCTGGGAGGTTTTCTTGGGTGTGGTTTTCCTGAGGCGCCCCACCCTCTCCCAGGCTTCCGCCGCCCGCCACCCCTGTGGCTCTCAGGTCTCACACGCGGTTGGTGTTCGTCACTCGGACGCCTCTCCTGCGGCTCGCTCGCTCGCTCGCTCGCTTCTCCTCCTCCTCCTCCTCCTCCTCCTCCTCCTCCTCCTCCTCCTCCTCCTCCTCCTCCTCCTCCTCCTCCTCCTCCCTCCTCTCTCCTCCTCCTCCTCCTCCTCCTCCTCCTCCTCCTCTCCTCCTCCTCCTCCTCCTCCTCCTCCCTCCTCCTCCCCCTCATAAGATGTCGAGGGGCTGTCGGGCCCTTGCTGCAGAACACTCGCGCAGGGGAATTACGCACACGCTCTACGCTGCACCTTAGCGGGCGCATTGACGTTGACCCCCTCATGCGGATGTCCTGTCCTATCCTGTCCTCCTCCTCCTCCCCTTATGCGGATTTCCTGTCCTGTCCTGTCCTGTCCTCCTCAACCTCCTCAACCTCCTCCTCCTCCTCCTCCTCCTCCTCCTCCTCCTCCTCCTCCCTATCCTACCAATGGTCGTGGTGGTGGTGAAAATCGGCCCCGTCAACAGCAGAATCGGGGCGCAGCGGGGGCCCTCCTGGATCCAGGACCCGCCCCCGGCCTCCCTGCGAGCGTGGATGGCCCATCGCCCTTTCTACATGCACTGTCCCCCCCCCCTCGCGCCCTAGAGGTCTAGACGAAGAGACAACGGCATAGACTGACTACCTACCAGACCACCCCACCACAACCCGAAGACCCGAGTTTGAATCGAATTTCGGGTTTGGGGGGGTGCGGGTTCCATGTGTTTTTACAGTGCTCCCCGACCCCCCCACTGGAAATGGAGGGCAAATGGAGGCCTTCGGGTTGGGTTGGGGTGGTTTGGTAGGCGGTAATAGACATACAGTGGAGGCCAGTCCACGACAAACCTTCCACAAGAAACCCAAGCCTGAGAACACAGGACGTCCAGTGGCTTTTGGTACGGAAGCGTCGCGCTCTCCATTGCAACACCCTCGAAACCCACCCTGGAGGCAAGCAGGGCGCTTCTTGGAGGCGAAGAGGGATCGGCATGAACATAAACTTTCGGAGGTCCGGGCGTATTTCTTGGATCCGCGAAGGGCCCCCTCCCTGGCGCGCGGAGAGCGCCAGGGGCGGCGCCGGAGGCGCCGCCGAGGGGGGGCCCAGCGCGAATCCAAGAAATCCGCGCGGAACGCCACCAATTTATGCTTATGAGCTGTTTTCTCATTCGAACGTGGCGGGTCCCGCTATTCTCAGGAGAAGATATCACGATGCGTGGGGGAGAAGGGAGAAGTGGCCCACTCTAGCTATGAGCATCGCTTGATCGATCCCCATCCCAGCTGGTTTGGCCTTGGCGTGGCCTGACCTGGGCACAGCGCCTCGACGCTATGGGCGTGGCTTCCTGCTGCGTCACGCTCGGTCAGCGCGAGTCGGACCAAACAAATCTTTCCGACTGGGTCCTTCTACAGCCCCTGGGGCCCATGGGCGGTCCTGAGGGGCCAAGAAACGCCTCAGGACCCGCTCCCAGAGAAACACAACACGGCATACACATCATTTTCCGGAGGTCCGCGCGGGTTTCATGGATCGGCGCTGAACACCCCCATCTGGCGCGCAGAGCGCGCCAAGGACTGGTGCCGGAGGCGCCTCCAGGGGGGGCACGACGCCGATCCAAGAACTCCGCGCGGAGCTTCGAGAACTGATTATGATGTCGCTGCTGTTTGTTCTCCGAGCCTCCCTCGGGACCCGTCTGCCTCACTGCGTGGCGGGAGGCGTTTTTGCTTAGTTGTTTCCCCCTCCGTTTTTAGGATTTCCCCTCCAGAGGGCTGCGGCTTTCGGGCATGACTCGGGCCTCAGGCGGCCGCTCGGGACGATACCGCCACCCTCCGAACGCCCCCCGGCGAGGTCTGGGCCGGCAGGTGCTGGAGACGACCCCTGGGCTGGGACGCCGCCGAGAGCCAACGAACACGTCTGCGGAACAACCTCGCACTTCGAACTCCGACACTCGCGGCAGCCCCGGGGCCCCCGCGTGGCCAGCAGGCCTCCGAAAACTTGCAGAAACCCTCGAGAACACCCTGGCGCGGCGGGTCGCGGGGCCCTTGTCATCGCTTGGAAGTCTACTTCTCGTGTATGGTGTATGTGTTCGATGCCGTGCGCTGTTTTTCGGAAATGAGCCACGGTGCTCCTCAATGGCCTGGAGGCCTCCTAGATGGGGTCCGAGTAAATGAGGTCGGAGGATCGCGCCGCATCGGCGATACTTCGGCGATGCATCAGCGATGCCTCGGTGACGTCGGCGATGCATCGGCGACGTCGGGGAAACACGGGCTCCACATCGAGCCGCACTGTCGATGCATCGGCGATGCGGCGCGACCCTCCGCCCCCATCTGCTCCGACCCCCGCTGCTGGGAGGCTTGGAGCTCCTCAGCGGTCCTCGCCGAGACAACAAAGGGGCACACGTCCGAGCGTTGAGCAGGGACCGACCGTCCCGGCATTCCTATAGTCCTACCACGAAATGTTCTTAAAACCCAACAATGTTCGAATAACAAAAGCAAATGTGTTAAAACAAAACCCTCCCAGCCAGAAATGTTCTAAGAACATGTCGTGGGAATCACAACAAGTTCTTAGAACATTGTTTGGTAGGACTGAAGGCGAGCCAGGACACTTCGCCACTGCTTGAAAAACAGCGCACACGTCCGAGCGATGCCAGGGGCCAGGCGGTGGGCGACGGCGAGGGTCCTGCACGAGCGTGTCGGTGGGCAGCTCCGCCGCGGCGAGCGCCGCGCGGGGCCCGCCCTGCGGGAAGGGCGCGCGGGGCGCGCCCGGCGTGCACCTCCACCGAGCCTCCTGCTGCTGCTGCTGCTGCTGCTGCTGCTGCAACTGCTGGCCTCCTCTCCTCCTTCTCCTCCGCCAACTCCTCCTCCTATGTTCCTCCTCCTCCTATTTTCCTCATCCTCCTCGTCCTCCTCCTCCTCCTCCTCCTCTTCCTCCTTCTGCTCCTCCTACTCTTCATCCTTCTCCTCCTCCCCATCCGCGTGCTCCTCCTGCTCCTCCTGCTCTTGCTCCTCCTCGTCCTCCTTCTCCTCCTCCTTCGCCCCATCCGCGTGCTCCTTCTGCTCCTCCTGCCCCACCCCACCCCACCCCTCGAGCTCCCCCCCTGCCTCCACTCCCCCCTTGTCTGCCCCTCCCCCTCCTCATCCAGCGCCACCCCCCCCCACCATGACTACCCACCATCATCATCATCATCATCATCATCATCATCATCATCATCATCATCATCATCATCATCATCATCATCATCATCATCATCATCATCAGCAGCAGCAGCATCATCATCATCATCATCATCATCAACACCATCACCATCACCATCACCATCATCATCATCATCATCATCATCGTCATCGTCATCGTCATCAGCATCAGCATCAGCATCAGCATCAGCATCAGCATCATATATATATATATATCATCATCATCATCAGCATCAGCATCATCATCATCATCATCATCATCATCATCATCATCATCATCTGCATCATCATCATCAGCATCACCATCATCATCATCATCATCATCATCATCATCATCACCATCACCATCACCATACTCATCACCATCATCAGCATCATCAGCATCAGCATCAGCATCAGCATCAGCATCATCATCATCATCATCATCATCATCACCATCATCCTCATCCTCATCATCATCAGCAGCAGCATCATCGTCGTCATCATCATCAGCAGCATCATCATAATAATCATCAGCAGCATCTGCATCCTCTTCCTCTTCCTCCTCCTTCTCCTCCTCTTCCTCGCAGCCTCCTCCTCATCCTCACTGTCGGCATCAGCATCAGCATCACCAGCATCATCAGCATCAGCATCATCTTAGTCATCATCATCATCACCATCAAACATAGCATCATCGAAATAATCCGCATCAGCTTCATCATCACCATACTCCTAACCATCATCGTTAGTAGCATCATCAGCATCATCATCACCATCAACATCAACATCATCATCATCACCATCATATGTATCAGCATCATTATCTCAATCATAATCGTCATCGTTACCACCACTACCAAACGCAACAGCAGCAGTATCATCCGCGTCCTCATCATCATCATCATTATGATCAGCAACATATGCATACTCAACATCGCCATCATTAACATCATCATCATCATCCTCATCATCATCATCATCATCATCATCATCACCGTCATCGTCATCAACATCATCAACAGCATAATGATCATCCGCATCAGCACCATCAGCATCATAATCACCACCAGCATCACCATCATCATCACCATCACCATCATCAGCATCAACATCATCATTATCATCACCAGCAGCATCAGCAGCGGAAGCATCAGCATCAGCATCAGCATCAACATCATCCACCAAACTACTATTATCATTCGTATTAGTACACGTACGATTATTCGCTTCCCTCTGCTGCGGTATAGAAGCTGAGGGTTTAGGCGCCCCTGGTTCAACCCATATTAAAGCACTCTGCCCACCTGCGCCTAGCCATGGACCTGGGGTTACCCAGGGTGGGATCTACCCCGGGCCCAAGTGAAAGAATAGGAGCAGAGCCTGGGAAAGAGGCTGGCGTGGGCCACGGCCTAGGGGTACGGCCTAGGGGTAGGACGACGGGTAGGGTCTCGGGGCAGGGACAGAGGGCACGCCTAGGGGTAGGCCCAGGGAACGGCCTAGAGGCCTCGAGGTAGAGCCTGTAGGCAGACCCAGGGAAGACCTCAGGGAACGGCCTGGGGGCAGGCCTGAAGGTTAGGGGTAAGCCGAATGAAAACACCGATGGGGAAAGCCTAGGAAGAGATAGGGCCTCGGGCTAGCCCCACCCCGCCTATCGCGCTGGCACAGGTCGGCGAAGACGACGACTGACCCCACGACGACGACGACGACGACGGCGACGACGACGACGACGACGACCGCGACGACGAATACACCACTCTACTCGTCACGTGCCAGCGCAGGAGTGGCGGCACACATTCCTCCACTACCTCCAATCGTCGCGTGACAGCGCAAGGGGGGCGGACACTCACTGCCCTCCTACACTCGTCAGGTGGTGATGGTGGTCGGGCGGGCAGACTCCTACGGGCGGGTCCGGCGGGCTGACCTTAGCGGGTGGGATCGGGCTGGACGGGTCGGACGGGCAGGTCCGGCGGGCGGACCGTACTGGGCGGTTTTGGGCGGCCGGGCGGCACACTGAGACGAGGGACTCCAAAAGGGCGGAAAAGGGCGAGTGGGGCGCGCGGACCTTGACAGGGCCTGGGGGAAGAGTCTAGTGGTTGGCCGAGGGTAGCTCAAGAGGTAGGATCTAGGCGAAGCCCAATTCAAGGTAGGCCTAGGGGGAGGGCCTACAAGTCGGCCTTGGGGCAAGCATAGGGGGAGAGCCCATGGGTCGGCATGGGGTCTAGGGTAGCTGGGGGTGAGGGCTGGGGTGGAGCTAATGGGTGAGTACGCCTAGGGATAAGGCCGAGGGGTAGGCGATATGAGTAGGTCTCGGGACAAGCTGAAGGACAGGGCCTAAAGGTGGGCACTTGGTAGGCAAAGGGGCAAGGCCTGGGGGTAGGGTATACCCAGAGGAACGCCTTGGGGTAACACCAGGGGTAGGTCACGTCAGTGTAGGACCTGGGGGTATGTCAATGGAAAATAAGCCTTCTACAGGCTCGGAAACATTTACTCCCAACGACGCCACATGGTCCAATGTCGCATAACAGGAGGCTGTGTGTGAGCGATGGTTGCACTATGTGGTATAATGGCCGAACACACTGCGCTTCGGATGTCCACACCCACTGCCCCGGTTATACGGTAGCGCAACAATGCAGAATGTGGGCCAGTATGTGTTCAGTACACACCGTCCTGTTTCGCGTGTTTGCACCCACGACGTGCGTGAAATGTTAGCTCACTGTCATTCACACACCGGATGCACCCAATGTGAATATTGGGAACACCAAGGCGAAGCCAAGCCCAAACTGTGCAAAACCAGGCAATTTGAGAGGACGTCTGAAGCAAAACCGAGCCCGAACCAAGCCAACCATCAAAAATTGCAAGGACGTCTCAAGCGAAATCGAATCCAAACCAGGCAAATTGTGAGGACATCTCAGGCGAAACTGGCCCAAACCATGCCAAACCAGGCAACGTGGGAGGACGTCTCAAGCAAAACAGGGCCCAGACCACGCCAAACCAAACAAATTGTGAGGACGTCTCAAGCAAAACCTGGCCAACACCAGGCCAAACCAAGAAAAGTGCCAGGAAGTCTCAAGCAAAAGCCAAAACCACGCCAAAGCAAACAAATTGTGAGGACGTCTCAAACAAAACCGGGCCCACACCAGGCCAAACCAGAGGCCAAACCAAGCAAATGTTGGAGGATGTCTCAGGCGGCTTGCGCCGCCCAACCAAGCCAAACCAGGCCAAACGCGGGCATCAACCAGGCAGATTTGGAGGACGTCCCAAGCAGAATCGCCCAAACCAGGCTCCACCCACTCTCGCGAAGAAAATTCAAATTCAGAGAGTGGATCACTCCAGGCCCCCCCCCGGCGCGAGCCCGTTTAGAATTTTATGGGGGGCGCGTTTGGACCACATGTCTGGGGAGGCGGACGGGGTTGGGTGCGGAAGATTTCGTTTGACTTTCGGCTGTTCTTGGCGCCTAGGTGTGGCGTAAGGAGAAATGTTCCCGAGCATGTAGGAATATGTAGGGCCTGAGCTTGGCCTACTTCTTGGACTCGATAATAGAATCCGCTAACGTGGACCCGTGGATCCAGGGATCAAGATTCACGGATCCTGGATCGACCCTCCCGAATAATGGCACCAATGCCGCCTTCATTTGGCGACGGAGCGCGCCGATTCCTACCCCATGTTTTCGCTTCCTCGATGCAAGCGTTCTCCTTCCCCCTTCCTCCTCCTCCTCCTCCTCCGCCTCCTCCTCCCAGCGTGGGAGGCGCCGGTTGCGTCGGGCGAGCGCTTCCTCTGCCCTCCTCCTCCTCCTCCTCCTCCTCCTCCTCCTCCTCCTCCTCCTCCCCCTCCAAACCTCAGAAGATCAATCGTGTTGGGGGTTAGGAGTCCAGCACCGACCGGGGAAATCCGAGCGGACCTTCAACGCTGATGCATACAACATGATTGGTCTGCTCTTCGCTTTCCAGGAAGGCGACAACTGCGGCAAGATCAGGTCACGATGACGCGAGCGCTGTTATCTGACGCTTGGTGAAGCGCTCACGCTTCCCCGTCCTCTTCTAGGAAGGCTCCAACTGCGACAAGTTCACGTCGCCATGACGAGGGTGGAACGACTGCCGCTAAACGATGTCAGAAACCATTCAATTCTGGACGAGTTCGGGCAGCTTGTGAAGTTCAACCCTGAACGACCGCGCAGCAGGTGTCGCCATCAAGTTACCGCAGCAAGCATAAGCCTGCCATCTGCACTAACACCGATCCTGGCCCAAGACTCGCCTGGCCAGAACCCATGTAGGTGCACACTGGGCGCACCCCCCGGTCCTGAGGGGGAGCGCTAGGGGAGATCAGCTCAGGCGGGATGGAAACATCGAGCAGGCATCGGCGATAGATGGCAGACAGAACGGCGATAGGACCCCGGTAACACATCTGCACATTCCTGGGAGTGGACTGTCTTGAGCAAGGACCGACCGTCCCGGCATTCCTAGAGTCCTATCACGGAATTGTCTTAGAACCCCGGAATGTTCGAAGAACAAAAACAATGTTCTTAGAGCATAACCCCGATGTGTTGAAACAAGACAATATCAACCAGAC